CAAGCTCATTTTTCAATATGTGTTGCATCCGTTCTCGCGATATGTTAAGCTCACGAGCCATTTCTTTACCACTGCGATGCGAATTTCGATCAATTTTTACCTTCACTTTTCGGATAATTTCTGGTGCTTCTGGTGTTTTTTTGTCCACTTTTTGGACGCGGTGCAATACTGAGTATACATGTTTTATGTAATAACGATTACGAAATATGATACGAGAAACAAAATATTTGTTCGCATTTAAATGCTGGAGGGCTCTAACGATAGCCACTTGTGGTTTTCCAGCCAAATATAAAGCAATCACACTATCTCGCTTGACTTCCATCAAGAATTTTTTTTCTGAATGCAATAGATCAAAATGCTTTTTTACGCTAATAAACAACTAAATGAACAATCACTGAAATAAATCTGTCAACAGTCTGATTTGCGGTATAGAAATGATAGCAGTCTGAAGTTGGTTGCAATACATATCAGCCACCCTGTATATATATATATATATATATATAAATATATATATATATATATATATGTTAAAGAACTTACTCATATATATATATATATATATATATATATATATATATATATATGAGTGAGTTCTTGAGGGCGATACATCAAACAAAGAAAAGCCAAAGATTTATAAAATAATCTTTATTTCCAAACGTTTCGACATTCAATTTAATGTCATCATCAGTGGATATTACGTTGGTTAGTTACATATAGAGAAGTGTACACAGCACTAGAGATTTGGCACTAACATTTATACAACTAACTTGTCAGCACGGAATTTATAGATAAAATGTGAGAGCTTATAAATTCGAAGATGACTTTTATATATGTTTACATAAAAAGTAATAAACAAAACTTGATCAAGCGGAGTTATCATTACGCAAAATGACACAAATGTATACACTCAGAAACCTTTGAAACGTAAAGAAATGCAAAAATTTTCAATTTCGATTTTTGGGCGATTACAATAAGTTACACTACAGGAAATTAATAACTATAATTGTGTAGATTAAAGCGCCCAAAATCGTGCTTATATGCTGTGTATTGCATTAAAGCGCGACCCATTATATAATTTTAATAAATTTTTATAATTGAAAATACAGGGGAAAGTCCTGTAACGCCGGACGGCACCAAGCACCGGACACTCTATTTAACACGTATTATTTAAACGAGTATAAATCTTTTCATTTCAAAATACAAATGAAAGGGGCACTAGGGCACACAGGTACAGGATAACGCGCCAAGCCTCGCCTGTGACGCACACGGCCACGGTGAGAGCAACCCTTTCCTGTTTTAGGCGCAAAATCACGGCGTCACCTAATGAAAGTAATTCTAGCATATTTGTGGATTTACATTTGAGTGGTATGCAAAGATAAAAGTTGTACTTGATTGTTATCCGTAAAATGGTAGAATATTATTATATATTATATATATATATATATATATATATATATATATATGAGTGAGTTCTTGAGGGCGATACATCAAACAAAGAAAAGCCAAAGATTTATAAAATAATCTTTATTTCCAAACGTTTCGACATTCAATTTAATGTCATCATCAGTGGATATTACGTTGGTTAGTTACATATAGAGAAGTGTACACAGCACTAGAGATTTGGCACTAACATTTATACAACTAACTTGTCAGCACTATGCATTTTTTATATAATTTTTTTGTATGATGTAAACAGAAAAATGATAGTTTTATTGAACAAAAATGTAAGTAGAATTATGTAATTTCTGCCACGACTTCTGTACTTTGCTAGTACCGAGGCATGTATCTGCATATGTAGGCTAGGATACATGCCTCGGTACTAGCAAAGTACAGAAGTCGTGACAAGTTAGTTGTATAAATGTTAGTGCCAAATCTCTAGTGCTGTGTACACTTCTCTATATGTAACTAACCAACGTAATATCCACTGATGATGACATTAAATTGAATGTCGAAACGTTTGGAAATAAAGATTATTTTATAAATCTTTGGCTTTTCTTTGTTTGATGTATCGCCCTCAAGAACTCACTCATATATATATATATATATATATATATATATATATATATATAATAATATAATAATAATATTCTACCATTTTACGGATAACAATCAAGTACAACTTTTATCTTTGCATACCACTCAAATGTAAATCCACAAATATGCTAGAATTACTTTCATTAGGTGACGCCGTGATTTTGCGCCTAAAACAGGAAAGGGTTGCTCTCACCGTGGCCGTGTGCGTCACAGGCGAGGCTTGGCGCGTATCCTGTACCTGTGTGCCCTAGTGCCCCTTTCATTTGTATTTTGAAATGAAAAGATTTATACTCGTTTAAATAATACGTGTTAAATAGAGTGTCCGGTGCTTGGTGCCGTCCGGCGTTACAGGACTTTCCCCTGTATTTTCAATTATAAAAATTTATTAAAATTATATAATGGGTCGCGCTTTAATGCAATACACAGCATATAAGCACGATTTTGGGCGCTTTTAATCTACACAATTATAGTTATTAATTTCCTGTAGTGTAACTTATTGTAATCGCCCAAAAATCGAAATTGAAAATTTTTGCATTTCTTAACGTTTCAAAGGTTTCTGAGTGTATACATTTGTGTCATTTTGCGTAATGATAACTCCGCTTGATCAAGTTTGTTTATTACTTTTTATGTAAACATATATAAAAGTCATCTTCGAATTTATAAGCTCTCACATTTTATCTATAAATTCCGTGCTGACAAGTTAGTTGTATAAATGTTAGTGCCAAATCTCTAGTGCTGTGTACACTTCTCTATATGTAACTAACCAACGTAATATCCACTGATGATGACATTAAATTGAATGTCGAAACGTTTGGAAATAAAGATTATTTTATAAATCTTTGGCTTTTCTTTGTTTGATGTATCGCCCTCAAGAACTCACTCATATATATATATATATATATATATATATATATATATATATATATATATATGAGTAAGTTCTTTAACATATATATATATATATATATATATTATATATATATATATATATATATATACAGGGTGGCTGATATGTATTGCAACCAACTTCAGACTGCTATCATTTCTATACCGCAAATCAGACTGTTGACAGATTTATTTCAGTGATTGTTCATTTAGTTGTTTATTAGCGTAAAAAAGCATTTTGATCTATTGCATTCAGAAAAAAAATTCTTGATGGAAGTCAAGCGAGATAGTGTGATTGCTTTATATTTGGCTGGAAAACCACAAGTGGCTATCGTTAGAGCCCTCCAGCATTTAAATGCGAACAAATATTTTGTTTCTCGTATCATATTTCGTAATCGTTATTACATAAAACATGTATACTCAGTATTGCACCGCGTCCAAAAAGTGGACAAAAAAACACCAGAAGCACCAGAAATTATCCGAAAAGTGAAGGTAAAAATTGATCGAAATTCGCATCGCAGTGGTAAAGAAATGGCTCGTGAGCTTAACATATCGCGAGAACGGATGCAACACATATTGAAAAATGAGCTTGGACTAGAGCCATTGAAGTTCCAAAAAATGCAAGAGTTCATAGATGCACAGAATAAAGTTAGACGGGAAAGAGCCAAGGAGTTGGTTCGCTTATACGAAAGTGGCTAGTTACCGAATTGGTTTTCTACGATGAGAAGTCATTCCAAACTAAGTAGTTTGTGAACAGGCAACATGATAGGGTTTACTTGACAAAGAGGTCAGCTAAAAATTTACACCTTCGATTGACCACCAGAACTCAAGCGCCGCCCACGGTAATGATGAGAACCATCGTAACCGCCAATGGTGACACTCCGCTCGTATTCATCGACCGTGGGATCAAAACAATTGCCGAATTTATCGGAAACATTTCTTAAAGGCAGTATTGAAGTCCTGAGTAGACAAACATTTCGGTCGCAGACCATGGACATTCCAACAGGACTCAGCACCATCAAACTCAGCACGCGTCAAGCGAAAATGGCTTAAAAAAGAGGTTTCTCGCTTCATGTCCATCGAACAATGGCCACCAAAATCTCTGAAACTAAATCCGTTAGACTTTTGTGCCTGGGGCATTTTGAAAAGTAAGGTTTGCACTAAAAAATACCAAATTGTCGATCACCTCTACTAGGCGCCTCGCCAGGAATGGGCCAAAATACCCCAGAGCCACTTTCGTGCAACTTGCGGTGGCTTTCCGGCCGTTTGAAAGCCATAATTCGTGCCGAATAAATTCTAAAATTTTATATTATTTTCGACATTTTTTATTTTAAACAATAAAATTTAGAATTAAAATGAAAAACTCCCAAAAAATAGATAAATTATAAAAAATAGTTTATTGCTATGAAGGAAGTGAAAATAAATGAAATTTCGGAGCGTGTTGCTTCTGCTGCTGCCAACGTTAGCAGATCGTCTTTTCAATGCATCATTACATCCCCTGAAAACAGAGAGGTCACGGCAGAAGCAGCACAGCGTCAAAAATCGAAGTACCAGCGAAAATTTACAAGAAAGCCAGTACTTCACAATCAGACTTTCAATGATTTGCAATAAATTGATGCCGGCAAGGCTGACAAGAAAAAACTCAATGAGTGCTATAACTGCGACAGACCCTTCCCAGTTGAAGTGCGTCGATATGACTTCACGAGCGCCACTTGTGCTAACAATCTGTGCTTAATTATTGTAAAATGCTTTTTTCAAAAATTTTATGATTTCAACTTTATTGTTTCTTTTCAGACATTAAATGAACATTATTATTGAATTCTGTTTTTTCTATTTCTAACCCTCATTACATGTCAACTATTTTGAATATTGCAAGTTTGACAACGGATTCGTAATCAGCAATTAAGATTATTTTATAAATCTTTGGCTTTTCTTTGTTTGATGTATCGCCCTCAAGAACTCACTCATATATTTCAACATCAAAATTAACTACTAAATCATATATATATATATATATATATATATATATATAATTTTATGACCTTACAAATACATTTTTCTATGGTCATTTATATTTTTACCTGTTCGCCATTATTATTGCAAGAATCGCTACTAGATAAAACGACTAAATTGGTCTGTTGAGAGTCTGATCCAGCTATGACTGCGCTAGGTGTTTGGAAAGTTGGTACCATTTCATCTTCGTCATTTTCCAGGAGATGCTGGGAAGCCTCGTCGGACCGACGCCACATTGTGCTACTGTAAAGACAATACAGATTAGCTAAACATGTACACATGTTTTATGTAACACTTGACAATTTATAACATAACAGATTTTTTTTTCTTAATCACAATCACACTTAGGACATTCAGTAATTGTTTTGGCTTTTATTATATGGATTTTTAAATGAATGGCAACCCAGTAGTTGTCCAATCCAATTATGACTAATTAACTATACTCGAAGTATTCGCTGACATTTTTATTATATATATGCAAATATATCTACGAGAGGCGATTTTCACTTGAGGCTATATTTGAGATCTATAACCTCAAGTGGAAATTTCACATCAAAGTTGCCCGATGTCGGGCTTTGGCGGTAGCGAGAATCGAACCAGCGAACCCAGGACTAGTTGGTTCTAGCCCACGTTCGAACCGATATCGCCACCGCATACACCCCATAACATAAAAGATAATAGTCAAAATTCAATATATTATTATATTATTATAATTATTATTATTATAATATATTATTATAATAATAATTATTATTATTATTTTTATTTATTTATTTATTTATTCAGTATTATTATTATTATTATTATTATTATTTTCTTTTTTTTATTATTTATATATATATATATATATATATATATATATAGCTTATAAGATAAATTGTATCTTGATTGCTATTAATAAATAAATATAAAAAAAACAAGCAAAATACTTTATTATAAATACTGTAACTTTCATTATTCGGAATTTATAGATAAAATGTGAGCTTATAAATTCGAAGATGACTTTTATATATGTTTACATAAAAAGTAATAAACAAAACTTGATCAAGCGGAGTTATCATTACGCAAAATGACACAAATGTATACACTCAGAAACCTTTGAAACGTAAAGAAATGCAAAAATTTTCAATTTCGATTTTTGGGCGATTACAATAAGTTACACTACAGGAAATTAATAACTATAATTGTGTAGATTAAAGCGCCCAAAATCGTGCTTATATGCTGTGTATTGCATTAAAGCGCGACCCATTATATAATTTTAATAAATTTTTATAATTGAAAATACAGGGGAAAGTCCTGTAACGCCGGACGGCACCAAGCACCGGACACTCTATTTAACACGTATTATTTAAACGAGTATAAATCTTTTCATTTCAAAATACAAATGAAAGGGGCACTAGGGCACACAGGTACAGGATAACGCGCCAAGCCTCGCCTGTGACGCACACGGCCACGGTGAGAGCAACCCTTTCCTGTTTTAGGCGCAAAATCACGGCGTCACCTAATGAAAGTAATTCTAGCATATTTGTGGATTTACATTTGAGTGGTATGCAAAGATAAAAGTTGTACTTGATTGTTATCCGTAAAATGGTAGAATATTATTAGATCTTTTAACCAAGTTTAGTAGGTGCCACCAAATGAACAAAAATGTCTGTTCCTTAGCACCGCACACTAAGTCGTCTCTTAGTGCCGGACAGTAAAAATATTGATATTTCTTGTGATAATTTATTTCAATTATTTAACTTTGTTATGTATGAGTGCTAACGGTCACTACATACCCCCATTTTTCGTATTTTCTAGTCAAAGAATGACAAGCTTATGGTGAATGCACCAGCTGAGAGCATCGGTGTGGCCCAGGCAAAAGGGTGGATAAATAGTGACTTTTTTGCAATATCTAAGAATATTCATCAAAGACACATGTGCAGACATTCCAGAGCGTGGAGATGGCTACATATACAATCAATGCAGGTTATTTTGAAATGTTCAGTCTAGGTGTCACTGTTTAAAATCATATTTTTTGAGAGCAAAGTTTGATTGATAGTATTAATTATTTTTTAGCAAAGATTGCGGTTTTGTTAATTTAGTTTGATTTCTAACTTTATTATCCAACATAAATCATAATTTAATAAACATTTCGTAAAATATTTTTTGATTTATTTATAAATAACCTTAGGTGTCCGCGGTAACTAAATAACGGTTTGATCGATACACTCGCAAAGTGTTGTAGATGATCCGTTCTCTTAATAATTGCAATTTTTTGCACTTTTTGCTCCGCATATCGGAAACGGCTGCAACTGCCATTGCAAAAAATTAATCAGCACGTCTCCGTAAGAATCGAATAATGCTTGAATTATTTTCCGTATCTACGAAACAACTGACCTGCCTTTATCAAAAATTAATCAGCACGTCTCCTTAACAATAGGAATCGATTTTTTAATCATTCAAATCGATTGATCCTCCCGAAAACGTGGTCGAAAAATTGTATCGACACACATACACACATCCATTTTTTCTAATGTATGCCAAAATGTTCAGAAATAATGAAACGCAAATATATGCAAAAACTTTCATTTTCGATTCTTGAACGATTACTATAACTTGCTCTAGACTCTATAGGAAGTTTAAAAATATATTTGATTCTGCTGAGCAGCAATGGAATATTAGCGAAAATAAAAATCGAAGATATTTGCACTAAATATAAATCCAAAACAAAAGAAAAGTTTAATGCATGGGTATAATTAATTGGCCTGCATTTAGAACATGCTAGAATACCCATCGTATTTGCACAATATTATTAAATTCATTATGTATAAAAATGAATCACAAAAGAATTTTCACATATTTCACTGTGAGTATTAACAGAATTTATCTCTTGTACAAACAATGTATATAATTATTCTATATATACCCTATTATACTATCACGATTTAAATTAATTCATGAAATATTATGATCAGCATACAGAGAATGAAATTAGTTGAAATAGTGCATGTTTGTAATTGAAGACCAATCGCATTTATCAAACATAGACTCATGATATTAAAACGTCAAGATTATTACTAGATAAGAACACACTAAAAATCGTTTTATCTAATTTGCAATGAAAAGTGCTTGCGTAGAATATAATTTTAATTGAATTTGATTCAGTTAATTGATTATTGTCAGAATAATATGATATACAAACAAATTAGTATTAATATCATTAAAATAAGAATTCTTTTCGATAAAAATAGTAGGAAATTAATCGAATATACAATGTACAGAAAAGGTGTATATATTTGAATGTGTGTATTTACGCACGTATATATATATAAATATATATATATATATACATATATATAATATATGTATATATATATATAAGCGACTGATGTATCTGTAATAAATAGCTTATGAAATTATCGCAGCAATGTTATTGCAGTGAAGTGCAAGGTTGTGTTAAATACATTTTTGTAATTTTTATACCGACTTTTGAATTAAAATATGTCCAATTAAAAAATTTCTTTCCATTTAAATTAGTTTCCATTTATCCAAAAGAAAAAACAAAAGTAAATTGTTGTAATTAATATACGTACTTAATTTTCTTCGTGAATGAATCCATATCAATCATCAAAACAATTAACACTGAACATATATGTTATTGTTACATATATTGCAAAAATCACACACAAACACTGTCACACATATATTAAAAATAGTCATTGATATTATTTCCCACATTATCTATTGATTTACTGCGCGTAACTGACATACTTAGAAGTTCCTGCTAAATTATCTTCGAATTGCTGATATAAATTCATCACTTATCATTCTGTTTGAAATTATTGGTACCGCGCATTAGTGCCGTGTGATTAAGATAAAAATTAATAAATTCAATAACTCGGAGTGCGCGAGCAAATTGTGGGCGTATCAGCTGCAATTTGATCTCCAAGGTGGCATTTACGTCACATTGCATTGATGTTACGATAAAATGAAGAATCTAATAAAATCTTTTTTAATATTGCACTTTAAAACAAAAGCACGGATAAAAATTACATTTTACTTTGACTATGTTTACAATGATTTGCTAGCTGTTTGCCCATTTTTATCACCGTTTTTTCAACGACTGAGAGACGATTAATCTTGGCTTTTAACGCTAACGCTCACTTTCGCTGATAGCATATCAGGAAAAAAATTATTGAGATAGTTTATTATTTTCCCCAAGGGTAAAAGTTCAACTTTCGATGACATTCCATTTGTACTGACCGAGTGAAAAGTAGATTAGTTTTTGGGATTTCTTTCCAACCATTTAGGAGACTCTCAAGAAAATTGAGAAATTGGTCATTCGGCTTATCAGAACAAGTATTAATCGGTTAGAATAAATCGGCAATTGCATGATTTTTGCATTTCCCAGAAACTATGCAACCTAATACCGTCCACAAAAACGAATGTTTAAACATTCGTTTTTGTGGACGGTATTAGGTTGCATAGTTTCTGAAAAATGCAAAAATCATTTTGTCAATTTTAGCAATATGAATAAGTGTTTAAACTCAGAAGATTTTTTAACTTAAAATAAAACTAACTTTTTGTATTTTGTATTTAAAATTTTCCAATTACAAATGTTTCCAAATTGTCAAATTTTTTATATTATAATTTTAAATTTCCTAAATAATGAAATTTTTCAAAATAAACAAATATTTAATATTTTAAAATATTCAATTTCTGCTTTAGCTGTGTTTAGACGGAATATCAAACGCGTAAGCACCGCGGCGCAGTTTAACAGAACCTGTTTTCTCAAAGCTAGAAATTTTTTTAATGATATTTTATTATCGGTACATTAAGAAAGTGCCGGTCTGGCAAGCATTTAGCGATTGCGTCATCATCCCTCGAGTTTTTGAAAATGTAAAAAAACTCATTTTTTTAACTTGCTTTCACAAGGCTCAAATTTTGAGGGAGTATTCTTGTAACTGTTCAGATAGCATATGTAGAAAGCCAGACCATTCTGACGATTGCAAGGGTCTGCCAGACGAGTACATAATAGTCACGACGCGCAAGGGTGTGGGCGCATTGCCATACATGATCGACTAATACCCTTGTATTTGAATAATTTATACGCCATTTTGAAGGTCATTTTGAAAACATCCGATATACCAAACTTCAACTTTGTACCTCATCTTATGGCCGAGATATCATTGAAAATATGCCAAAGTGACCCCTTTTTCAAACTCAATTTTTGGCGTAACCATAAAAGATATCGAAAAAAA